CCACCCACCTCGCTTCGTGCATGTAGCTGACCTGTTCGCACATCATGTAATCTTGAACGGATCCGAGCTGCCGCCAAAGTGTCCTACTTCTGGCATGCCAAAATCAAATCCGCGATTGGCTCGAAATGTGCGCGTAGCCTTGCGCACCACGCATCCGACGTGTGGTATTGGGCAATCTCACAAAAATTACGAGCCCCACAAAACAGTTGGCGTGGAAGGCCCTTCCTCTTACGGCAGCAGCTTGTAGTCGCTTGGCAAGGTGATGATTACATGTCACCAGTCCATGATGATCCCACATAGCAAAGGAATGGCATATCGAATCCCTGCATCGGAAGTCACATAATACGCATAAAAAAGCACGTCCATCGTAAAAGCTCACGATTGAGCACGCGGACCTTCGTGTTGGCTTGGGCTTAAGCAGGGCGGGTGTTGCACGGCGCCGTTATTGTCGTATTCAGCCAATGCTAGCGCGTCGACGGTTGTTGCGCAGTGTATCCATGCCCGAGGCTTCCCTGGTTTGTTCCATGCCCGACAATCATTGAATGGCACCATCAATGGTTGCGTATGCGCATTGTACCTCGCTGTAATGTCGTGGCAATGCCGATATTTATGGTGGTAGGTGGTCCGGGTGGAGCTTGCACCGTCGACCGTTGAAGTGACTCTCGTTCAGCAGTCAATGTTGCGATTTCGAGTGCGTTTTCATGTAGTTGGCGCGTGGGCTCGTTGAAATGCTCTTGTATGTTCGGCCAAAGCTCAAAACAGCCTCAGTCGTGACCGCGCGCCCAGGGAGCACTGCTAAAACTACAGCACGAAAATGAATGCATTGAGTAGGATCTGAGTACAAGTACTAACCCTAATTGGGTTGTACCCCTTATGGGCTACCCCACTACAGCCTACACAACATATACAACACTATAGTTTGACACATCCCCATAGGCAAAGTGGGGGAGAACCAGTGGTCACAAGACCAGTCAAGAAAAGCAAAGCAAGCTCAGGGTGGATCACGAAGTCACCACACATTCTAAGCACAAGCAAATGGCCACAAGGCCTGTTCACATGCACAGTTATTTAAAAGAGAGCAAACAGCACAGCAATCATAACCTAGCAAGAGTAAGCATGCAGGTATATATATAGATCACAGTACAAGCGAAGTCACGCTGAGAGCAAGTGAGAGAAAGTAGGTACAAGGCCTAAAGCAGTACAGAAACGCTGATGATCACCAGGCGGAAGTGCCTTGGTGAACACACCGCCGCCGCCGGTCTGCCCACACTGCCCCAGTCGGCCACCTTGCTTCGCCGGGGCGACAAAGTTTGCCTGCGCCAAGAGCTCCTGGGACCGCTCAGCTTCCTGCATCGCCTCGTCCTGCAGGATATACGAGGTCAAGTTGTCCTCGTTGAGCGTCGCCCTCGTGCTCGGCGCCATTGACAGCCGCTTCAGGAGGTTGTAGCTGCTCGAGAGTCCCTGCATGACATGGGTGATGTACGACGCCGTCGAGTACTGCGCGCCGGCCATCCTGATGGTGGCGAGAATTCGCCGGGCTCGGTTGCAGTAGTCGGTAGCCGTCTCCTCGTCACCCATGCGCAATTGTATCAGCTGCCCCTCAAGCTGGGCGATGTACAAGTCGTCGGCGACCTGGTATGTTGACTCAACGAAGTGCCACGCCCGGTGTCCGGCGTCGAGGTACTCCCTGCACCACTTTAGGGCGATCTGCACGCCCGGTGAGCAGCACCGCGAGATGACCGTGAAGGTCAACAGCTGCACGGCGCGAAACTCCGCACGCAAGTCGGGATCGTCCGGCGTCGCCACGGTACCTCGAGCAAAGCTGATCAGCCCGGCCATCTCCAGCTGGGGCTCGATAGCTTCCTTCCAGGTGAGAATGTCGGGTCGACCGACCAGCGGAGGGGTGAGCAAGATCCTGTCCAGCGTAAACTTGAAGTAGCCGTAGCTCGGCGCAATTCCGCCTGCCGTCACCTGGGACGCTGACATCGGCGAAAGTCCGCTCCGTCGACCTCCGACGTCACCCTGCGAGGAGCCTGCAGCCGCCGACGACTGCATCCCTCGCGCCTGAACGCCGCCGACTTCATCGGCGTGAATCACACCTCGCTGCCTCGACGTGCCTCCCGCACTGCTGCCGACCTGGCCTCCTCCGGCATTGACGCCCACGTCGACGCCGCCCTCGTTGTTCACCGGTCGAGGAGAGGCTGGTCGAAAAAGGGGGTGCTCCGACGCCCACACGGAGCGGAGTCCAGCCTCGACGACCGCCCAGGGTATCGCCCCGTACTCCTAGGCCTCATGGCGTCTCCTCGCATCCTCCAGCCGTGCCTCCAGGGTGTCCATCACCTCGGCGTCACCTACGCGCACGCTAGTGACTGCACGGCTCCCGGCCTACGAACACGGTTGGTGCAAAGTCGGCTAGACTGAACTACGTCGCGGTGCCGTCCACGCTCACCGCACCATGCGGAGATAACTAAACTACGGGCTAGGCACGGGTACACGTGTGATCTCTGCGTTCCTTGTTCCTTAGTCGTTTTCCTAGTGCTCACACTACTTGCTAGTTCCGGGGGTAATTTGGCAAGAGTTTCACTAGAGCAAATTGACAACAATGGTTCAGAATAATTACAACAACGTTGGCAACACAAAGTACATTAGAGCTAGCTAGGCTGCTGGTCGACCTCCAGCGCAGCACAGTCGACCGCGTTCCAGCGCAGCAATGCTCGCACCGCTCCAGCGCTGCAGAGATGCGGCGCGCCAACGTTGCAGGTCCACGGCGTGCCAACGCTGCAGCAAGTCGGCTGTACAGCGTTGCACCCGCAGGACAATGATGCATCTGCTTCGCAGGTCCGCGCAGCTGGTTGGCGCTCCACACCTTGTCACGAGCACAGCGCAGACGCCTGGCAGACTCCACGCCAGTGACTGCGCCCACCAGCCACGTCGGCCTCGGGATACCACCCCCGAGGTTGGCCTTGCAGACTCTACTCCCGGCGACCTTCGCACACGTCGCCCGGGTATCCCGGTCGACCGGGCAACCACGCCTGGTCGACCAGGGCAGTCCGTAGTCGGCCACCAATGCGCGGCGTCCCCAGTCCGGCGTCCGGACGTCTAGGACATCGACCGAACCCCCAGGTCGGCGTCCAGACGCCCAGGACGCCTTGCAGACGTCCAGGGCGGCGCCCAGCCTCCCAGTACGCCGACCAGGCGCCCAGGTCGGCGTCCGTGCCCCCAGGACGCCCAGGTCGGCGTCCGGGACCCCAGGACGGCGTGCAGGACCCCAGGTCGGCGTCCGGGACCCCAGGTCGGCGTCCGGGACCCCAGGTCGGCGTCCGGGACCCCAGGACGGCGTGCAGGACCCCAGGTCGGCGTCCGGGACCCCAGGTCGGCGTCCGGGACCCCAGGTCGGCGTCCGGGACCCCAGGCCCCTAGGACGCCGTGCAGGCGCCCAGGTCGGCGTCTGGCTTCCCAGGACGCCGTCCAGGCGTCCAGGACGCCGTCCAGGCATCCAGGACACCAACCAGGCGTCCAGTACGGCGTCCTCTTGCTCGGCGCCCTCTAGCCAGGCGCCCTCCAGCTCGGCGCCCTTGCAGT